TTGTGGTCTATCAATTCACAGGAAAATGTGAATAAACGATGCGATCATGTGGGTGGAGCCCCTTATGAATATGCTGTTTTTAAATTGTGGCAGCAGGTGTGGGGAGAAGATCCCTGCCCACTGTCACAGGAATAGGGATTGGGGTGCAGGGTGCAGATGCTGAAACATGGAAAACAGGTGGAACATGGGGGCAGCTCAGTGGCTAAATGGTTAGCACATCTGACTGGCAGCACTAGGGTTGTTGGTTCAAATCCCAACCACATCACCACCTGTCTTGGAGTTTGTATGCTCTCCCTATGCTTGCATGGGTTTCCTCTGGGTATTCCAGTTTCCTCCCACACCCCAAAGACATGCTGGTAGGCTAACTGGATCCTGTCCAAATTGGCCCTAGTATGTTTATGTATGAATGTAAGTTAGAGAACTTGGATTGTATGCCCCTTGAGGGTTAGGGACTGATGTGAATGTACAATATATGTAAAGCAGTGCATAAATTGACAGAGCAATATAAGTACCTGTAACAAATAAATGTAACATGTTCCTAAGGTGATCTTATCCTTTAAAGTATATCTAAATGTTTACTGGAAGAGATTTAGTTTGCTAAAGCAATGTGTATCATAAAGACTTTGCATTGTTTATTTTTTGGTTTCTCCTTGCACTGGCTCCAGCATCAGCTGCACGTAATAGTTCTTGACTTGCTTTCCTGATAATGACAATGACCCGATAATGGCCATGTGTGTCAGCATGGCTGCTTGTAGTCAGGGGACAGTATGAGAGGGTGACAATGCAGGAGCATTGGAAGATGGTTTTGAACCCATAACAGGAAGTGGCTGCACAAGGACCTTCATGGCAGGATCACCAAGTATTCTTGATTCAGATTTTTTAAGATTTAAAAACAACTTTTGAAATGAAATTAACACGTCAAAGCTTTTAAATCGAAAATGTGCGTAATATGCCGTACAAACACTATACAGTGCATTTTCTCCCATATTGTATAATTGGCTGTCTTGACAGATAAGCAAATATCATTATTGATAAACAGCTGAAATAAAACAGTAAGATAGAAAACAATTTTGTCAGCAGTGGCTTGGAAGCAGATGTTAACCGGATGAGATTTTCTTGGCGCTATGACCTTGACGCTGTATGATCTTGGCAAAGAGGATACAGGCATGTAAATCTCCAGTGTTAGGGCAGCCTTGGAGTAGGGGATCATTCTAAACACCTAAAGTGCCAGGAGCGTTGGATGGCAGGAAACTTTATATCGTATGCCATCACGTCTTGCAACCGTTGCGAGGAATAGCCTGCATAGTGGATGGCATACAAGATCTTTATCCAACCGTTAAAGCAATATCTCCCCTTCGGTCTCTAAACAACCCAATGCATCTAGGCTGCCCCCCTTACCTCCAGGCTGTGTGATGAAAAGCGTCTCCTAGTCCCATCCTTCTGTACTTGGCATGAACACACATCCCTGTAATCCATCATGATTCTGCAAGCTTTGGGTATTCAGAAGTGGTGGAGCATAGACCTCCCCAGCATGCCCAGTAACAGCTAAACTGCCCACCCCAAAATGCTGCTTGGAGTCCCCGCGTAGCAGTGCACAGCTTGCAGATTTATGACGTATAAGCATCTCAGATTGACTCTCATGGCCTCAACAGAATGTAGATGGTAAGGTTGCAACACTGATCGACTGAACATAAACCTGCTTCATATCTATGTATATAGAGATCAAAAATAGATCAACAAAAAACAACAGAACAATTACCTAGTGGAGGGAAAAGCAGTAGTCAGGTGCATTTAGCACTTTGCATGTTGGAGTTCTGCCTTAAAGCAAACCAGTGCTATCCCAGTGAAGGGCGTAGAAACAGGTTCACCTATGTTATCCCCTTCTCCGTTGCATACACGCTGTTAATAAAACCTTCCATTAGCTCCTCTATTAATCTGAATTCCCCCTACACTCCAATGGGCGAATGGAGTCACGTGCTCCCCATACTCAGAAGTACTGGTATTTCCTGGTACTTGTAAGTATAGGGGGAATATAACTTGGAACTTACTCTTACTTTTCTTATTTGCATGCTTGTTCTGGATCTCAGAGTAATGGAAGTCAAGGACTGCTAGGCAACTAGCATTTCCAGAATGAATCTACCATTTCCAGTAATGGATAGCTCCACATTTCCTTTCATATGTGGTGATAAGGGAAGCTACTTCAAAGTGAATTTAAAGTGTTACTAAACCCACAACAGTAAAATCAGTCTGTATATGCAGTAAAGCATGCTTATTATACTCATTCTGGGACCTAAGGGGTTAATCCTCTGGATTGTGTAAAAACACTGTTTGATCCTTTCTTCTCTGCCCCTCCTCTTGTTCAAATGTGCATATCTTATCTCCTAATGAGACAGACGGAACCCGTAGCGTTTTGCGGAAACAGACACCAGTGCATTTAACATGATTTCTTATGGGACATGATCACATATGCGTGTTTTCACCCTTTTTGGAAAGGGTCAGGGACTTTTTCAAATGCAAAAAGTTGCATTTTTGGTTCTGTAGACTTCAATTAAGATGCTGCAGAAAAGCATGTAGTGTGTTTTGATGCGTTTTGTATGCGTTTTAATCTACCTAGCAACAAAGAAAAAAAAAACAAAAAAGGCAAAACACATCAAAAATTTGGCAAAACATGTACAAAATGCATATGCAAAAAGCACCGCAGAAACGGATCAAACACAAACTGCATAGGTGTGAACCTAGCCTAAGTGAGCGTTAGTGCAATTCCCAATCTGGCCACTAGTTGAAGCCCTCCCCATTACAGTCTATACATAGTGGGCTACGTTACAGCAGTTTTTCTCAAGTAGGGTTCGTCCTGAGGTTGCTAGGGGTTCCTTGAACAGGGAACAATAGTGGATTGATGTTTCACCTACGTTGGCCACTAATGCAAAGGGGAAATTTTTCACTAATTACTAATGCAAAGGGTAACTTCTACACTAAACACTAAAGTTAGAGGTCACCACCATTTATTATTCATGTCAAGAATATTACCGAAAATAATTTTATAGGGAGTTTATAACAATATTATTGTCCCTAGGTGTCAAATATGCTAGGTACGCCAAATTACGTATTATTTTATTTAACATTTTAATCTTTCTCTCAATTTTTGATCAAGCTAGTTTATTTATGAGTTTCTCCAAGGTAAAGAGGTTGAGATAGGTTGCGTTAAGCCAGCCATAGACAGATCAAAATTTGTCCAGTTCATCAGGAACCGGCTGAATTTCTATCCAGCTATGGGCAGAGTTTTTTCGTAAGGTCACTGCCAAGGGCTATAGCATCCACCAGTGATCATTATCTTCTGATGGCGGGGAGACCTCCCACTGTCAGAATACAATAGCGCAGCGAGAGGGATTCCCTCATCAACAACACAGCCAGTGTCAGGAATTGACCAGTGGTTGAAGGAAAGGAAATTGCATAATCTATGGCCAGTCTTAGAGAGCAGAAGGAGTTTGGGCAGGGGGTCAAGAAGACAGGAGTGAGATTGTGTAACTAGCACTCATGGGTCCTGGTGAGGCCCTTTCTGCAGAGACGCAGAGTTTCGAGTGATTGGTATTCTCTGGCTGGGGATTACGTGGAGAGATCCTGGTTTTCTGGAGAGTAGGGAGTTGGGGAAAGGACATTAACCAATTCCTCCCCGTAGGATGCCATACGACTGTTCTGGACTTGAAGAGGAGATATCAGGGTGATGCCTGTAGCTACAGGCATCATCCGGGTATCTTTTTTTTAAATCCAGCAATCCTCTGTAAAGTAAAAGAAATCTTAGTTGCTAATTAGTCACTGGATTACTTTTACGGCGTCAGCACGTAGGCTCCTTCTGATGCATTTCAAGTGCACGCATGTTCTCAAAGGGATCCACTTTGTCAAAGGTGGATCCCTTTGAGAACGTGCGTGTCCACGAAATGCATCAGAGAGGAGCCTACATGCTGACGTCACACCGCCGAGTCCACGTGATGGTCCGGCGGCCATCTTTGTAAGTGCTTTTTATCCATTGATGATTTTATGCTCCACATGGTTGCTATCTTTTTAATAAAACATACTACACTATATGATACTGTCACTTGGCTCGGTCTATGAGCTTGCCCTCTAGGAGGAATCCCTTTCCTTGGTTCACCATGGGCTGGAGTTGGAGACTTGGCTACTCTACTTTTAATTGTTAATTTGGTGTATCACTGGCTTCTGGAGAGATCCCACCTTCAACTGGGTCACCATCAGGAGGAACAAGCAGGAACACCCCTTAATGTCATTCCGCTCTGGGCTTGCTTGCTATATACTTCTGGTGAGTGCATTATGGTGGAGGTGCAGTGCGGAAGTTGCAGAAGTCATTACCTTTTGTTGATTTGATCACATCACTATTATTGGGACTATTATGATATTTAAAGGACATATATTTTCATTTGTTATTTGTTATTCCGTCCATTTTGTTTCTTCATTGGAGTATTCACTATTCTCTAATTCTTTTTTATGATGTTTCCTTTCTCTTTTACCATCACACTGGTCATCATTGAGTATAACACACATTTTTATTAGCGCTGCACATTGATATTATAGTCTTCTGGGAAGGCTGTCCACAAGGTTTAGAAGTGTGTCTATGGGAAGGTTTGACCATTCTTTCAGAAGCGTATTTGTGAGGTCAGGCACTAATGTCGAACGAGAAGGCCTGGCTCGCAGTTTCCACTCTAATTCATCCCAATGGTGTCCTATCAGGTTGAGGTCAGGACTGTCACGTTCCTCCACCCCAAACTCACTCATTCACGTATTTATGGACCTTGCTTTGTGCACTGGTGAGCAGTCATGTTGGAACAGGAAGGGGCCATTCCCAAACTGTTCCCACAAAGTTGGGAGCATGAAATTGGCCAAAATGTCTTGGTATGCTGAAGCCTTAAAAGCTCCCTTCACTGGAACTAAGGGGCCAAGCCCAACCCCTGACAAACAACCCCACACCATAATCCCCCCTCCACCAAACTTTACACTTGGCACAATGCAGTCAGGCAAGTACAGTTCTCCTGACAACCGCCAAACCCAGACACGTTCAACGGATTGCCAGAGAGAGAAGCGTGATTTGTCTCTCCAAAGAACATGACTCCACTGCTCTAGAGTCCAGTGGTGGTGTGCTTTACACCACTGCATCCGATGACTGCACTTGGTGATGTAAGGCTTGGATGCAGCTGCTCAGCCATGGAAACCCATTCCATGAAGCTGTCTATGATATGTTGTTGTGCTAAACTGAAGGTCACATGAAGTTTGGAGGTCTTTAGCTATTGACTCTGCAGATAGTTGGTGACTTCTGCGCACTGTGTGCTTCAGCATGCGTTGACCCGGCTCTGTCATTTTATGTGGCCTATCACTTCGAGGGCTGAGTTGCTGTTGTTCCCAGTTGCTTCCGCTTTGTTATAATCCCACTAACAGTTGACCGTGGAATATTTTGTAGCAATGATATTTCCCAAATGGACTTGTTGCACAGGTGCAACCTATCACAGTACCACGCTTGAATTCACTGAGCTCCTGAGAGCGACTCATTCTTTCACAAATGTTTGTAGAAGCAGTCTGCATGCCTAGGTGCTTGATTGTATACACCTGTGGCCATGGAGGTGATTGAAACACCTGAATCGAATGATTTGGAGGGGTGTCCCAATACTTTCGGCAATATAGTGTGTATATACTGTATACATATATATATATATATATATATATATATATATATATATATGTCTTGGTATATATATATATATATATATAGATATGTATGTATATATTTTTTTTTTCGGGGGTCTAGGTAATTTTCTAGCAAGCAACATGATGATTTCTACACGTAGGAGACAAATGTCATCATTAACTCAGTAGGGAAGTACTGTAGTTATTATGCCCTACCTGGGAAAGTGCTAACAACCATTGTTACCATTGGTGAGAAGCTGTTTGCCCTGAAATTGGGTGCCCTGAAATTGTGAGCCTTGAAATTGTGAAAGTAAAAAGAAATTTTATTGGACTTGCCTCTTCTTGCTGCTTATGGTCTATCATAGGAACTTTTGCTTGACTTAGCTGGAAAGAATGCGAGTGAAGTGTCAGACATGGCATGTACATGTGCTGGTGTATGTATGCAAATATTCTCCCTATGACCCACACTAATGTAAATTAGACCTGTTAGTGGTATCAAGGAATAAAATATTATGGCAATTTTCTTATTGGCCCTGCCTACATGTCATTCTGGAGGAGTGGGTGAACTTAGGCCCAGTTACATGCATACCACCATACTTAATGTCCATGTGTGATGCTGAGCCTCAGAACAGATCAAAGTTAGCCATTTCAGTAGAGGTGACTAGATTTACAGTGCCTTGAAAAAGTATTATACCCCTTGAAATGTGCCACATTTTGTCATGTTACAATCTGAAACGTAAATGTATTTTATTGGGATTTTATATGATAGAGCAACACAAAGTGGCACATAATTGTGAAGTGGAAGGAAAATGATAAATGGCTTTCAAAGTTTTTTACAAATAACTGTCTGAAAAGTGTGGCGTGCATTTGTATTCAGCCCCCCCGAGTAAATACTTTGTAGAACCATCTTTCTCTGCAATTACAGCTGCAAGTCTTTTTGGGGATATCTCTACCAGCTTTGCACATCTAGAGAGTGAAATTTTTGCCCATTCTTCTTCACAAAATAGCTCAAGCTCGGCAGATTAGATGGAGAACATTGGTGAACAGCAATTTTCAAGTCTTGCCACAGATTCCCAATTGGATTTAGGTCTGGACTTTGACTGAGCCATTCTAACACATGAATATGTTTGATCGTAACCATTCCATTGTAGCTCTGGCTGTATGTTTAGAGTCGTTGTCCTGCTGGAAGGTGAATCTTTGCCCCAGTCTCAAGTCTTTTGTAGACTCTAACAGGTTTTCTTCTAAGATTGCCCTTTATTTGGCTCCATCCATCTTCCCATCAACTCTGACCAGCTCCCCTATCCCTTCTGAAGAAAAGCATCCCCACAACATGATGCTGCCACCACCATGTTTCACGATGGGGATGGTGTGTTCAGGGTGATGTGCAGTGTTAGTTTTCCTCCACACACAGCTTTTTGCTTTTACGCCAAAAAGTTAAATTTTGGTCTCATCTGCCCAGAGCACCTTATTCCACATGTTTGCTGTGGCATGGTTGCTTTATAACCTAACCCTGCTTTAAACTTCTCCACAACTTTATCACTGACCTGTCTGGTGTGTTCCTTGGCCTTTATGATGCTGTTTGTTCACTAATGTTCTCTAACAAACCTCTGAGGGCTTCAGAGATCAGCTGTATTTATGCTGAGAATAAATTACACACAGGTGGATTCTATTTACTAATTAGGTGACTCCTGAAGGCAATTGGTTCCACTAGATTTTAGTTAGGGGTATCAGAGTAAAGAGGCTGAATACAAATGCACGCCACACTTTTCAGATATTTATTTGTAAAAAATGTTGAAAACCATTTATAATTTTCCTTCCACTTCACAATTATGTGCCACTTTGTGTTGTTCTATCACATAAAATCCCAATAAAATACATTTATGTTTTTGGATATAACATGACAAAATGTGGAAAATTTCAAGGGGTATGACTACTTTTTCAAGGCACTGTAAGGTAAGACTAAGATAGTGGCTCATTGCTCATCTAACCGGACAGGCCTCAATTCTTAAGACGCATGGGGAACTAGCAACCACAGGCCTCTGTTACAATGTGCTCCTCTATCTGAAATATTGAGAGGTTGTATATTAAGAATAGTAATTTACTTTCCTTCTTGCACTTCAGTTCCCTTTTCTCACAGAGCAAATCACAAATTGAGCATATTTTTTCTGCCTATCATTATGCCTGTAATATAATTTCCGTGTTCTAATTAACCTCAGTCTCAGTATGGTGGAGATAAAGAGACCCTGCAGGGAATTCGCACACCGTTATCCTCTGTTATAGTGATGTTGCAGAGGCAGGCTCACCTAACCAGTGACAGCCAGGAATTCCCCAGCAGCCTAGAGAATTCCATCACTCCCTGTTCACCCTGTCTTGAGGCTGTTTCTTCCAACACCCCATCCAACACACTCCGCAAATGTCACCGTCACATTGTCAAGTGGCCTAATGCCTGGCCTGTCTTCACCCGCAGAGACTGATATAGACCAATCTGGGCATAAATAAATAAAAACAGACCATGCACACAGCTCTGATGGTGGCTAATGTGGCACACTATGCTTCTAATCAAGAAAGATGATCTTACAGTAATAATTTTATTAGATGCTATTTGTATTGTTTCCCTCGCTTGGCTTCAGCAGAAAACGAGGAGGCAGATGGAGTGATGGATTCATTCATTTTAATGTATTTATTTTTAAAATGTTATTCCTATTATTACCAGACACTGTAACGGACCAAACAGTTCGAAAAACTTTGAGACGAGGCACAGGCAAATTTTTTTTTTTTTAGTTTTGATGGACAATCCAGTTAAAGTTTTTTTATGACAGTAATCATGTAAAAACAGAGCCACCAGCATCAGGGCCTACAGCTAAAATCAAATTCTTACAGACATTTATATTTACACAGAACTTTTACATATTGTACATTCTCATCAGTCCCTGCCTCACGCATACAATCAAAGTCCTACCTCACATATATAAATCAATACAAAGGTCCACTTTAGACAGGAGTCAATTAACCTAACTGAGGTAGGATGTTCTTGAGAAAGGGGGTTCCTACATCCCTGAAATGTTGGGTTTTTCTTCCTTCTCTCTCCTGGGTCTGACTCAGCTGTTCTTTTCATTATTTTGTTCTGGGTACTGAATTCCTGTATGTATTTCTGAACATCAGCTGCTACAGTATATGGTTTATGTGGTGCTCATTGTATCTATATACATGCATGTATTTTTGTTGGTTGGATTTACCAGTGGAGATTTGCACCTATTGTATAATTGTATGTACAATTGTACTCAAAGGCTTGCATACCCTTAGAGAATTGGTAACAGTATGTGCCATTTTTAAAGGATAGGTTCATCTTTCATAACATGTTACATGTTACACCCATATTCAGGGTGTAACATGTAACATGTTATAAAATGACTGGCTCCCACTTCCCTCTGATCCCCTGTTTTGACAGCTAGCAGGGGATCTTCTCCCCCCCTGCTAGCTGTCAAAGTTAAAAAAAAAAGCTTAATGCTCTGCCCACCCTGCTTCGTTACTCATTCACAGTCCTTACAGCCTTAGCGGCTTCCTGCCAGTATCGGCTTGCCTCAGGGGTGTCCCTAGGGTTGGTGTCACCCGGTGCAGTAACACTTGGTGACACCCCCTTCGACGATCCCCGCAGAATGGATCAGGTCTGCGGATTGAGCATAAAGGATCAGACTCCAATCCATTTTGCTCAATCCGCAGATCTGATCCATCCTGCGGGGATCGTCGGCTTTATTTACAACTCACCTTTTTGTGGAGCGGGTCCAGTGTCACCCCGTATAGGTTGCATGCCGACGATCCCCGCAGGAGGTTTGGATCTGCGGATTGAGCATAATGGATCCGATCTATTATGCTCCCCAATCCGCAGATCCCATCCATCCTGCGGGGATCGTCAGCTTGCTTTACAACGTACCTTTTTGTTGAGCGGGTCCGGTGTCACCCCGTGCAGTCGGTGTCACCCGGTGTGGGCCGCAACCCCCGCACCTGCCTCAGGACGCCCCTGGCTTGCCTGTATGAGGTACAAGCAAGCAGATACACTGACAGGCCTGCAGGAGACCTGCATGGTAGGCTCCTACAGCAAAAAATAATAAATGCTATTTTTTTACCTGCAAAAAAAATGTACATTTATTATTTTTTGTTGAAAGGTGAACTTGAAAGAAAACCTGAATGAGCAGGCAAAACACATTTCTTTTATTTCTTATGGGATTCATATTCAAGTGTATGTCATAACAGAATGGAACAATCATAAAACAAAAAATGGCAACAAGTAAACAAATGAAATGTGCCCTGTTCAAAAGTCTGCATACCCTTAGTTCTTAATACTGTGTATTTCCCCTTTAGCATTAGTGACAGTGTGCAGAGTTGCTCGGTGATATTAAGGTCAGGAGATTGTGATGGCTATTCCAGAACCTTCACCTTTTTTTGCTGGAGGGTGTTGTGCTTAGGGTCATTGTCGTGCTGGAAAGAGCATCTCATCTGCAGCTTTTCTGCAGAAGAATGCAAATTGGCTGCCAGTATTTTCTGATAATATGCAAAGTTCAACTTGCCATCAATTCTCACAAGATTCCCTGTGGCTTTAGAGCTCACACACCCCCAAAACATCAGCGAGCCACCACCGTGCTTCACAGTGGGGATGGTATTCTTGTCACTATAGACCTGATTGTTATAGTTGTAACCATAAAGCTCTATTTTGGTCTTGTCACTCCAAATTATAGTGTGCCAGAAGCTGAGAGGCGTCAAAGTGTTGTCAAGCATATTGTAACCAGGCTTTGCTGTGGCATTGGCACAGTAGGCTTTTTTCTGGCAATTCGATCATGCAGCACATTTTTGTACTGTCGCATTGTGCTCCCTGAAGCAACAACACCGCCTTTTTCCAGAGCAGCCTGTATTTCCAATGAGGTTACCTGTGGGTTTTTCTTTGTATCACAAACAATTCTTCTGGCAGTTGTGCCTGCAATCTTCCTGGTCTACCTGACCTTGGCTTGATATCAAGAGATCCCCGAATTTTCCACTTCTTAAAGGATATGTTCACTTTTTGGAAAAAAATAATAAATGCACATTTTTTGCAGGTAAAAAACCGTGCATTTGTTATCTTTGTCTGCAGGAGCCTGAAAAGCATTGTACCAATGATCAGTAGATCACTGGTGCCATGCAGGTCTCCTGCAGACCTGCTAGTATAACTGCTTGACCATACGGGATGTACGAACAAGCAGATATATTGACAGGAAGAATGAATGAACTACCACGGCACTTCATTGAGGACTACAAGCTGATAGCTGCTAAGGCTTGAGGGACTTGTAGTCTCTCATTCACAGATGACTGTGAATAAGTAACATAGCCGTGTGGCCGGAGCCCCACATGACCTCTTTCTTTAAAAAGTTGACAGCTAGCAAGGGGGAGAAGAACCCCTGCTAGCTGTCAAAGCAGGGATAGGGGGAGGGGGGGCAGAGATCGGTCTGATCGTATCATGTTACTCTCTGAATACGGGTGTAAGATGTTACGAAAGGTGAACTTATCCTTATCCTGCTAATAAGTGATTGGACAGTACTGACTGGCATATTCAAGACTTTGGATATCTTTTTATATCCTTTTCCATCTTTATATAGTTCCATTGCCTTATTACACAGGTCTTTTGAAAGTTCTATTGTGTTTCCCATGGCTCAGCTTCTACCTTGCTCAGTACATTCACATGAGAGCCAACAAACTCAATGACTATTTATACACATACACTAATTACAATTTAAAAAGCCACAGATGTGGGAAATTAACATTTAAGTGCCATTTTCATTTTTGCCTATCCTTCTATAGGAGGAGACCTTCAGAGCTAAAAAAAAATATGGTAACATCAAGTAACGCCTAAAGAAACATTGTGTAATCAGATTTTACTAGTATTGATTTTAACTTGGGTGGAAATTACAATTATTCATCTGTCCACTAAATTGGACATCATGCATCACTGGTTATATTTCATCTATAATTCATACTATTACCGAAACTTTGTTTTTATTGAAAATAATTTGGCTGCAGTAACATTTATGACTTTAAATCAATTTACTCATACTATTAGAATGCAATCTGCAGTTTTTGTAACAAAAAACATAATTAATTTTTGCAGATAAGTTCCATTATGAGAGTAACAGTTAAAGTTTTAGTAAAGTCCAAATTTCAAAAACCTCTGACAGGCATGGTTTGTATAACAGGAGAGACCCTAGTCGTCTCTTCTGTCACAAATGTCCCCTTGCCTGTCAGCATCAATGTGATCTGAACTTGCGCATGCGCAGCTTAAACTGCATTTATTGCCTGATCTGTGTGATGTGACACCCATGCTCGACCAGTCAAGCGGCCGAAGATACAGAACCTGGAAGGAAGCTGTGATAGCGCAGCGCTGGAGGACTCCCTGTGCAGGCTAGTCTGCCATAATTTATTAGTATGTGCTGCATACTAGTACGTTATGATTTAATTACCTCAATACAGCTGTACGTACATATATGTCCTGGTATTGAGATGGTTATACCAGGATCATGGTTGAGGCTACAACCATGTTCCTAGTATCATTTTTTACATTTGGTGATTCCCTTCACTGTAAAAGTAATCCTAGTGGCTATATAGCCGCTGGCTTACTCTTTTAAAAGTTCTCCCGTGCTCATGCACAATGACAAATGCAGGCGTTGGTCCCAAACGCATATGTAAACGGCGATCACACCACACATATGAGATATCACCACAAAGGTCAGAGCGAGAACAATAATTCTAGCCCCAGAGCTCCTGTGTAACTCTAAAGTAAAAACCTGTAAAGGCTTTTAAAGTATGGATAATTTAACATACTGTAAATTGTCCCCGTATGACGTGCTTATCCAAGTGTGACATGTTTGGTATCTATTTGCTCAGCATAACATCATTTTTTATATTTTACCAAAAATTGGGTACTACTATATATTGTGATCTATTCATTAAAATTCATTAAAGCATATTTTTTTCTGCCTCTATACGCTGAGCTTAAAGTGGCTCTAAAGCCATAAGGTTTTTCACCTTAGTGCATTCTATGCATTAAGGTGAATAACCATCTGTGCTGCATGATCCCCCTCAACTCCTTCTTATTTTTACCTTTGCATGATCCGATCCAGGGATGTGCACGAAAGCATCAGCTCTTGCCGCTGCCTCCCTCCTACCTGGGCAGACTAATAGCAGCAGGAACCATTGTCTCCCACTGCTGTCAATCAAATGCTGTGCCAAGGGTGCGGGGGGCAGGGGACGAGTTGCCCGTTCTGTGTCAATGGTTACAGACAAGGCGTCTTAGGAGCAAGCCGGTACAGGTGCCTCCATGGAAAGCCGCTGTCAGTGGGGGCACCTTACAAAGAGAAGGGGCCAGGAGCACCGGCGAGGGACCCCAGATGAAGAGGATCAGAGTTGCTCTGTGCAACACCATTGCACAGAGCAGGTAAGTATAACATCTTTGCTATTTTTATTACCAAGAAAAAAGCCTCTAAAGGTCCTAATGTGCCTGGACAGATAGGATAACATTAGTTGCTTCTACAAGCAAAAGCTAAACTCCTCTAGAAGCAGCATTTTTTTAAGCCCGTGTGCATGGAGCCTAAAAGAAAAAAAAAAACTCCTTTACAGCATGTTCTGTATATTCTTTCATACAAAATCTAAATAAAGTATAAAAAAACCAGCTCTGGCTGCAATGCTCATCTCTTTGGTGCAGTCCCTCACACAGTAATCTTTTTGCACCACTAGACGTCTTACGTCTTCTGGGGTGAATGACACTGTATGTGTTTTTGTAGCCTTTTTCTACCCTGCTAGTGCTGAAGTACATATGAATTGGTATTACTGTAAAGGGGAGCCTACAGGCTGATATAGTTCAGCAGAGGGGCCACACTTTTTTTTTAAGTGATACTAAACCCAGGAACCTGCATTCACTATATTTGATCTCCCACAGTACACAGAACATGGAAATGCAATTATTTTAGTAAATATAACTGCTAAATACCTTTTCTCATCAGTAGTTAGAGCAGTCTTGTGACTTCAGCAGAGCACTTGTTAAAGCTTGTAGGAGAAGTTTTATTTCTGCTCTAGGAGGATGTGAAACCTCTGACCTCTGTCTGGACAGTGCTGATCACATGCACCCTCCCAAGAAAAAAAAAACCTCTGTAGCAATACACACCAAACTGATCATGTGCAGAGTGACCACAGTTTCCGTTTGTATCAGGTGGTCATTTCAACAAGAAATGGGACAGAGAAGAAAGAATCAAACCACCCTTTTTACACAACTCAGAGGATTAACCCCTTAGGTTCCACAATGAGTATAACAAGCATGCTTTACTGCATATATAGACTGATTTTACTGTTGTGGATTTAGTAACACTTTAAATCTAATGAGGAACATGAAGGTCTTGGTGCCCAAAAGGACATCAGAAAAACACAAAAACATTTAAAATTAATTTATATTGAACAATTATTATTGTTATTTTAAAAATAACTTCATCAAGACTGCACAAGGTACAAAGTTACATAAACATATATGAGCCATTCCTTCACCTTCACAATAACGGTAAGAAAATGAAGTCCACCAAGGTTTAGGCAGTTAAAGGAACTGCATGATAAAGTCCAAGGTGCAAGGAGCAGAAACTGAGAGGATGAACTAAGATAGGGTTGTAGCCACCCTGCCCTAAGCAGGACTGTCCATCTAAATTTAGTGGTTCTATGATTAGCTGAATTTATAGTTCAGCTTCTTTAGGTTTTTCCTTGACTCTGGTTACTGTATGTGTCCTTCTTTTAACAGGAGGTGGTAGATCTTCCTCTGGTTATAGCATGAGAGCTGCAGTATGCAGCAGGGTTATGAATATTGATTACTTCCTGGCCAACCAGTAGGAATTTCTGTGCCACTGGTGCATACTGGGAGAGGGTAGGGCCAGCTGAAGTCAGTCTGTTCTCCCTGGGGCCTCCTGCCTGGGAGAGGGATATGCTGTGCTGCTAAAACTTCTTAGGCCTGCTGCCTGAGAGGGTGGGTGGGCAGAGGCCTGGATCTGGGGCCTAGCCTGTAGAGCCTGAGAACTAAGGAGCCATGCAGGACCTCAAGATGTCTTAAGGGGCTAGAAGAAGCTCAGATGTGGAGCTTGGACCTCACTAGAGGGTGGTGTTCTTTGTCCAGGGTGCTGGCAACTGAATCTTCAAGTATCTTATAGTCGGGAGCTACAATCACACCCTGTCTGTGGGGGTTCTCCTATGCTTTCAGGGGTCAGGAGGGTGATACAGGGTAATAATCTTCAGTTGTTTTTACACCAACGGTGAAAGCTGGATAAATGGTCAAACCTGACTATGAATGTGTCTAGTAGTCCAGCCTATGGTAAGTATACGACACTTGAGTGTTAGGAATCACTGGGTGCTAGATAATGTGGAATTTTGACAAGGGGCAGACTGACAACTCATGGGGCCCCCGGGCAATAGGGGATTATGGGGCCCCCGTGTCCTAGCCCACACCCAAAAAAGCCTATGAGAAAGCCAATGAAAGGTACCAGGGGCATCTCATGGGGCCCCCTACTGACCCTTGGGCAGTGCCCGAATGCTCGAATGGTCAGTCCGCCCCTGATTTTGACCTATAATTTAAGAAAACATTTCAGAGAAATGTTAAAGCAAATTATATTTTATTGCACATTAAAAGGGCTTCTATGAAACTATAAAAAATAAAATAGTCATTGCTCAAGACTATGCGCTCTGTCGGACTTCAAGAAAAGTGTAACAAGATTGATTTATAAAAATGAAAGCATAACTGAACTGAAAATCCTACATAAACTAGGGCCATTATAATTTTTTTTGCACAGAAGTCACGACAGCATCATGTTTTCTATTTAGAGCAATTTTCCTCTATGTAGAGCGACCTGAGCCTAGCTCATGTAGTGTTCATCTGATAATACTGCTGAGTAATATTCTTTGCAGTCACAGTGCCTTTGTGCTCAGCTATTCCACCACACTGCTGGAGATCAGCACAGCATGTCATAAACAAGTCAGGCACTTCTTATCTTCTGCTCTTGTCTAAGGTCACTGCATCAGGTGAAATTATTCACTGATCTGATCATTCTGGCCAGGAAATGCTGCAGCTGTGTGCAATTCACTGTGGGCAGATTCACCAAGAATTTACTGTAAGCCCCCATTCACATCAAGCCCTTACAGTGAAGTCGCACAATGTCCAAGTTGGGGGACATGCCGATTTCAAGTGCAATTTGCAAGACATCTGATACAGATGTCTATTCAAATCGCATGAAAAGTAGTGCATGCACTACTTTAGAAATCGGTGTGGCTCCGACCAAGTCTGACCGCTGTAATTGTGGACAATAGAGCACAACTTGGCATACGATTTGCAAGTCGCCTGGCATGCAAATCGCATGCCAAATCGCACCCAATGTTACCAGAGGCTAATTTTGAGCAACAGCCTTTTACATACATTAGATTCAGGGCCTTCAAAAAAAATGCAGACACCATCAGCCATGGGGAGTAAAGATGAATTCCAAGCAAAGGGGTAAATACACATTTTTAAATGCATATACGTGAACAGTTTACTTTCCAATGGAATTGTAATTCTGAACAGAAAGACATGAGACAGAACGGCCAGGTCCTAACACCTCTCTACAGACTATGCTTCAGCTAAATATTACACCCTGCTCTAGGATCAAGGGCGGACTGACCATTTGGAAACTCGGGCACTGCCAGTCAGTAGGGGGCCCCATGAGATGCCCCTGGTACCTTTTTCAATAGCTTTTTTGAGTTTGGGCAAGGACACAGGGGCCCCATGCTCACCTATTGCCCAGGGGCCCCATGAGTTGTCAGTCCACCCCTGTCTAGGGTACACCCCAGCCTGTGGCTGACCAGGGTGGGCACATTTAGATCTATGTATGTGCATAGAGCTGCATTTTTTTCTAGGATTAGGCAGATGAATTGTCATGTGATAACATGCTCTCCCTTTGGGCATTGATGTTTGAAGTTAAACGTCAGCGTAGATAGGGTTAAAGCCGTTGGCCAAGGCTTGTTAAAGTACTGCTATAGGCAAAACCTTTTTTTTCATTCTGGATAGAGTAATGAAGGGTTGCGCTGCAGAAGATAAGGAAATCCCGGCACACATGAGCTCATCCGAAATAAATTTTATTTCATGTCATCTTGCACCATAAATAACAAGCTAAGCATTTCAACTTCTGTTGGTCTCAGTTATTATGACTAAAGCCAATGGAGGTTGAAATGCATGAGCTTGTTATCCAATTGTCTCCCCCCTCCCCCCTTCCTGCCCAGGCCAGGTTTCAGCTTTCAGCACTGTTGCACTTTGAATGACAATTGCGCGGTTATACAACACTGTACTCATATGACATTTTTATGATTTTTTTTTTCACACAAATAGAGCTTCTTTTGGTGGTATTTAGCTACCACTGGGGTTTTTATTTTTTGCTAAACAAACAAAAAAAGACCAAAAATTAAAAAAAAAAGGTTTCCTTAGTTTCTATTACAAAACTTTGCAAACAGATCATTTTTTTCCTTCACTGATGTGCACTGATGAGCCTGCATTGATGGGCACTGGTAGGCAGCACTGATGGGCTGCACTGATGAGGCGGCACTGGTAGGCATTGATGAGGAGGCACTGATATGCGGCAATGATGGGCACTGATAGGCAGCAATGATGGGCACTGATAGGTGGCAATCATGGGCACTGATATGTGCCACTGATGGGCACTAAGATGCAGCACTGAAGGGCACTAATAGGCAGAATTGAAGGGCACTGACAGGCAGCACTGATAGGTGGCATTGACTTGTAGCGCTGATGGGCACTGATTGGCAGCACTGATCGGCACAGATTGGTAGTACTGCTGGGCACTGACTGGCAGCACTGCTGGGCACTGATTGGCAATGATAGGCAGCAAAGATGGGCACTGTTGGAGCTGCACTGATAATCAAGGCAATGATAATCAGTGCCCTGATTATTAGTGTAGATGTCTCTTTTCACAATTGCTGGTTATCGGTAGTGCTTTCCGCACACTGTGACAGCGCGGGAAAGTGCTGCCGATAGCTGGCAAGTGTGTTTACATTATGATCAGCTGTGATTGGACACAGATGATCACGTGGTAAACGGTCTCTGTGGTTGGCTCTTTACAGTGACATGTGATCAGCTGTGTCGGAAGGACACAGCAACCACAAAGCCGCAGCAGGCGCGCAGTTGTGGGAGGATATCATGTGATGTGATGCCCTCCCAGAACAGGATAACCATGTTGTAGCCATCATTCAACTATTGCGCAGTCAGCAACTGGTTAATTATGGTGCAAGATGACATGAAAAAAAAATGATTTTGGCTGAGCTCATGTGTGCTGATATTTCTGTATCTGCTGCAGTGCACATGTGCTGATAGTGAGCATGCTTACAGGACTGAAAAACAGGGAGGTGATATCATTAGTGTTCTTCTGACCCTTCTGTATTTGTTTATCTAGAGAAGGGGGGTTCTTTTCTGGGCACCCCACTGGATAAACACAGGGCAAAGGCGTAAGTGTAGCAGTGTATGCTTGCATTAATACACTGCAGTAGATCCTGACTGGCAGCTAGTGCTGGTCTTCCTTCTTCCAGTCTGAGCCCTGCTGTACAGAGGATTAGAAAGTTGATGACAAAGCAAGGGCATGTTTACATTAGTGGCAGTTCGTCCGGCTCCTCTGAAAAGTGATCCATTGTGGCAGTTGACAGGTGAATGGGAGGCAATACGTCTCTTCTCCATGGCCTGTTTCAACCTTGAAAAGCCCACACCACTGTGCCACATTCACTTGAATGGGTCGCATTTGGTGGACAGGTACCGCTAGCCAAATATGATAGGGGTGTATAAATTTTGCCATGTGTACAACCCCCTCTGGCAACTCTGTTGGTTTAAGGGGCTGGAGGGACAGTAAAACCACAGTTCAACCACCTATTTTTATCATCCCCTGGCCACAAGTGTGAGCAGGTCCTAAGGCACTTTTTCCAGCTAAAGTTGAGCTTTAAATAAAACATCACTTTCACTACATGTATAGCAGCCTTTGAAAAAAATGATAATATAACATGTTACTTTTACTACAGAAGAAGTATTTTTTCCCAGCAATTGCAGCCTTCTGGCTCTGAGCACCTCCCTCTGTGTACTGAAAAAGCTCCTCCTGGGGGACAGATTGCTCAATCAGCACAATCAGAGCAGTTCTACCACCTCCAATCAGCGCCCCCTAATGGTGGCGAAAACAGCAGTCACAGTGCCAGGCCATGCTGCTAGAGAAGTCATGTATCTACAGTAAAGGTAAGCAATCACGTTGGCATTGTTCCAAAGTCGGCAGAGACACGTTCAACTGTATATAGCTTAGTGAGAGTGCAGTTATACTCTAAGTGACTGAAGATGACTGCATGTCAGGATGAAAATTACATATATTCAACACACTGGCGGCATACTCTGATTGAGTTTAAATGATACGTTTCCACAGTTCTCTGATACAGAAAATGGATAGAAGCAAACTGCTAGTTGCATATAATTAAGATTTTAAACATTTTTTCAAGAGCAAGATATGCAGTAAATTGACATTATTGGTTGCCATGGTTATCATGTACACTTTCTTTTTGTTCTAGATATTAGGTATGTTACGCACACTTATATGGTCAGACACATTCAAAAGCATAAGACAATCAAAGGACACTATTACGTTCCACACTGGCTAAATGTTTAGCATGACTGCCTGGCAGTACCAGGGTTGTTGGGTTGAATTCCAACCATGGCACCACCTGCCTGGAGTTTGCATGTTCTCCCTGTGTCTGTATGGATTTCCTCTGGGTACTCCAGTTAACTCCCACACTCCAAAGACATGCTGGTAGGTTAATTGTTTCCTGCGAAAATTGGCCCTAGTATATGTATGAATATGAGTTAGGGACCTTAGATTGTACACCCCTTGAGGGTTAGGGGCTGATGTGAATGCACAATATATATATATATATATATATATATATATATATATATATATATATATATATATATGTATAAAAAGCTGCTGTGTAAAATTGATGGTGCTATATAAGTACCTGTAATACATAATAAAAAATAATAAAATACCATCAACTGCCTATCTACAGCAGTTAGGGAATGCAGATTAGATAAGAATGAAATGCGGCATGTCATTTCATTAATAGCCACTCATCCTATAGAGCAGTGGTCACCAAACCATGACCTGCAGGCTGGATGTGGTCCTCTGCTTGCCTCTTTCTGGCCCTTGGGGCACTGTTCCTACAACTGACTATTCCATTCCTCCCACTGACACCAACAATGAGGCACCATTCCTTCTACTGACACCAACAAAAAGTGGGGAACTATTACTCTCACTGTCACCAACAATGGGACATTTTTCTAACACTAATGATGGGGCACTATGCCTTCCACTAACATCAACAATGAGGCACCATTCCTTACACTGACACCAATAGTGAGGGGCTATTCCTTTCACTGACACCAACAATAGGACATTTTCCTTCCACTAACACTAATGATGGAACACTATGCCTTCCACTGATACCACCAACATTCCTCCCACTGACATAAATTATTGGACTGTAATCCTCCTACTGACACCAAGGATAGGGCACTATTCCTCCCACTGATATAAATGATTGGACATACTCCTACTGACACGAATGATGAGACACTATTCCTCCCACTCATACTAATGATGGAGCACTATTAGTTCTCCTACTGACCACAAGCGCTATGTATTTTTTTTACTCCCGCTGACCACCAAATCTGAGACATTGTCTACACCCACTCCCACTGATGCTGGAGCATGTTCTATTCCAACTGTCCACAGTCTGGCGAAGCATTCTGGCTAAAGATCCATGGGTGTTCCACACTCTACATGCAGTTGGAACCATTTATGTGCCTAAATCCTTTGAGCGCTTGGTGTTTTTGATTGTTTTGTGCTGACCCTCATAAGTATAAAGGACAGTAAATTGGTCCTTTGTTTGGAAAATATGGAGACCCCTGTTATCAGGCATGTCAGCCTTAACTGTGAACTTCTCCTATTTGGTCCCTTTTATTTATATGTAAAATATACCACTGAAATTGTGTTTATTTTGACAGAAATGATGCGAGCTGATAACTTCCTGTGCTGTCTGCCTGTGTAGACTGATATCAATTACATTGTTCCTAGCTCTGTCTGATAACTACAGAACTCTGCCTGTCTATGTTTTAGAAAATAGGAGAGGGGTGGGATGCTGCGTCCCTATCTTTTTTCCTAAAAGGGTGAGTGAGTGTTGTTACCTTACGACAGGAAGTGTCTTACTGGCGCTTTCACCATGTTAAAAAACTTGTGAAACAGAAAACGAATGCAGCCATCACATATAAGAACTGGTAAGCTGCATTATGTCACATTTTTATGTTTGGGTTTAGATGCACCTTAGCTCAATTCTAAACCATCGATCCATATACATGTGTTTTGTGGTGTGCTAGCAACAGATATTAACCAGATCAATGACTAATAACCCTTTCAATTCCAAGTTCTAAGTTCAACAACATATTAAAGAAATGCACCAAAAAGCACAATAAAATGCACAATGAAAACGTGTTGATGCATGACAATGTATCTACCTAATACTGCAAAAAAATGCACCTCGATGCGCACACATAGATCAAAATAAGTCCTGAAACCGACTTTCCAAATTCCATTAACATGTTAAAGCATATGTAAGAGGCACGGTGTCACTGAGCTATGCAGGACATCCTTAAATTATAGTGTGAAAGTATTAGTCATGCAATTCCTCTTTTTGGCCACAAGATGGAGATATGGAGATGCTGACTTTTTTCCTGAACCACCTTGA